TTTGGGGGAGCTTCACAAGGAGTGGACTGAGGCTGGCGTCAGCGCATCAAGAGCCACTACGCACAGACGAATCCTAGACATGGGCTACAAATGTCGCATTCCTTGTCAAGCCACTCCTGAACCAGAGACAACGTCAGAAGCGTCTTACCTAGGCTGTGGAGAAAAAGAACTTGACTGTTGCTCAGTGGTCCAAAGTCCTCTTTTCAGATGAAAGTCAATTTTGCATTTCATTTGGAAATCAAGGTCCCAGAGACTGGAGGAAGAGGGGAGAGGCACAGAAACCATGTTGCTTGAAGTCCAGTGTGAAGTTTCCACAGTCAGTGATGATTTGGGCTGCCATGTCATCTGCTGGTGTTGGTCCACTGTGTTTTCTGAAGTCCACAGTCAACGCAGCCATCTACCAGGAAATTTTAGAGCACTTCATGCTTCCTTCTGCTGACAAGCTTTATGGAGATACTGATTTCATTTTCCAGCAGGACTTGGCACCTGCCCACACTGCCAAAGGTACCAAAAGCTGGTTCAATGACCATGGTGTTACTGTGCTTGATTGGCCTGCAAACTCGCCTGACCTGAAACCCATAGAAAATGTATGGGGTATTGTCAAGAGGAAGATGAGAGACACCAGACCCAACAATACAGATGACCTGAAGGCCGCTATCAAAGCAACCTGGGCTTACATTACACCTGAGCAGTGCCACAGGCTGATTGCCTCCATGCCACGCCACATTGATGCAGTAATTCATGCAAAAGGAAGCCCAACCAAGTATTGAGTGCATAGAAATGAACATACTTTTCAGAAGCCTGAAATTTCTGTTTAAAATATCCTTTTTTTATTGATGTTATGTAATATTCTAATTTTCTGAGACACTGAATTTTGGGTTTTCATTATTTGTAAGCCATAATCATCAAAATTTCAAGAAATAAAGGCTTGAAATATTTCACTCTGTGTAATGAATCTATATAATATATGGGTTTCACTTTCTGAAATGAGTGACAAAAAATATTGACCTTTTTCATGATATTCAATTTTTTTTAGATGTACCTGTATTTTAAACAAATGCTGTTCTTTTGAATTTTTTGGAATTCGTTAAAAAATGTATCACCGTTTCTACAAAAATATTAAGCAACATAACTGTTTTCATCATTGATAATAAGAGATGTTTCTTGAGCACCGATTCAGCATGTTAGAATGATTTCTGAAGGATCATGTGACACTGAACTATGAGTCTGTCTAAGATACATTGAATGATTATCATCTTTTCTTTACCTACAGAAAATTCCAGAGCATAGTGTAATCATGCTCCATGCTTGTGCTCATAACCCCACTGGTGTCGACCCGCGACCAGAGCAGTGGAAGGAGCTCTCGGCTGTCATCAAGGTGTGTGTGTCTGTTGCTGTGATTTTGTTTGTATCCTTCATGCCACCTTCTACATTTCACAGCAAAAATTGTGTTCAGTTGAATTCCTTGAATGAAAAGATACTCCAGACCGTTGACCTGATGTTGCTTGACTATCTTGTTATCCATTCTCTCTGCAGAAGAGGAAACTTCTAGTTTTCTTCGACATGGCCTACCAGGGCTTTGCTAGTGGAGATATTGATCGCGATGCCTGGGCTGTGAGATACTTCATTGAACAGGGCCACAATGTCTTGCTGTCTCAGTCCTTCGCCAAGAACATGGGACTCTATGGTGAGTATATTGTGCCTTTACACTGTAAACCATTTCCTTTTCTTCTTTCCTACCAATATACAGCTCGGATTGGATCTTCATGTATGTGTGTAAATTGCAAAACAACAACAACAATTTTTGCATCTGATACAATTTCACTCATATGTATCTGATATCTGGTCATCTGATCTATGAAGTATTCTGTTGTCCTCTTTATTTTGAATATTTGGTTTTACATTTAATTTTAAAAATACTTTTAGAAATGTAAGTTGTTTTTTTCAGTTACAAATGAATTTAGAAAAAAGATTATCCATACACTGCACACTGGATTATTAATATAACATCAGTGTAATTACTATCAAAGATACAGAGTGTAACTCTTTGAAACACTTAACCAGTCAATAAAGTTTAGCATGGTGTGTCCCTTAAATGCATGCCAGAGGTCAGAAAATCATCTGTTCTTTAGGCTGGACAGACACATCCTGTCCTAATAGCGAAGCAAAAACATATAATGACAATTTAGGCCAGAGAATAAAACAAAAAATGTCCAAAGAAAATAAGTCCATGAACAAAAAGCAATACATACACTACCATTCAGAGGTGTGGGTTCAGTAGGAAGTTATGTTTTGAAAGAAATCAGTAATATTGTAAAATATTATTGCAATTTAACATTTTGTATTTTTATTAATCAAAGTATGATTTTATTTATTCAAATATGATTTATTTCTGTCATGGAAAAGTTTTCTTTGATGAATAGAAAGTTCTAAAGATCAGCAAGAAACAAATATCTTTGATCAATTCAATCCTTGCTGAAGAAAAACTACTAAACCCTAACTTTTGAGTGGTAGTCTTTGGCATGTTCTTTAACTATCTAATAGTTGTTCATACACAACCATAATCATATGACTGTGTTTGTTGTAGGTGAGCGTGTTGGAGGGTTCACAGTGGTGTGTGCTGATGCTGAGGAGGCAAAGAGGGTGGAGTCTCAGCTGAAGATCCTGATTCGCCCCATTTACTCCAACCCACCCATGAATGGTGCACGCATCGCCTCCACGATCCTCAGCACACCAGAGCTGCGTTCTACATGGTGAGACTTGCTTGAATACTACATAAGAACTTGCTTTCATAAAAGTTCATGTCTTTTTTGACATAAATGTATTTCTGTAGGCTGGAGGAGGTGAAGGGTATGGCCGATCGTATCATTAAAATGAGAGAAATGCTGGTAACTAATCTGAAGAAGGAGGGCTCTACTCACAACTGGCAACACGTGATTGACCAAATCGGCATGTTCTGCTTCACTGGACTCAAACCTGAGCAGGTACAACCCTTTGCAAACTCAAAAATTAAAATAATTATGCATATGTATAATTAAATGTTGTAAATTGGTACAAGCGCTAACAGTAGGAGATGCTATTGTGTTTCAGGTGGAGCGTCTGACAAAGGAGTTTTCTGTTTATATGACTAAAGATGGCCGTATCAGCGTTGCCGGTGTGACCTCTGGAAATGTGGGATACCTTGCACATGCCATTCATCAGGTCACTAAGTAGATCAAACTTATGTTGAGACAGAAGATCGGTCTACTGGTCCGGTTTCTGTTAGTCCGCCCCGCTGTTCCTCTTTGGACTCAGATCTTGGCTTCACTTCATTTGGCTGTTTTACTAGGTCAACATGGATCCTGAACATGTTATTTGGGTGTCTAACGGTAACCTTAATTCATCTCACAGGTAATCTTATGGTTCTGTGACTAATAAGCACATTTTTCATCCTGTTAAGATTCTGTATGAACTTTTATTTATTGTGTGAGTGAAGTAAAATTAACAATATTAAAGGTTATTGTGTCCATTTAATTGTTTTTTTATTTTCATTGTTAGGGGACACAACATACGCACTGTAAACCACATTGATACTCAGTAAAATTACAGTACCTTTTTTCTTTAATGAAAATTAATTTCGATTTTTGTACACTTATACAAAAATCTGTCAAAGTGTGTGTCAAAATAGGCTTATTGGAAGTTACCTAGCGGGGACTATTTTCAGGCGCTGCGTAATATCATTGCGCCTGCTGCACCCATAGTACGGCAGCAAAGTTCCTTGATTATTATGCCAGAGTGAGAGTATACAGTGGGGCAAAAAAGTATTTAGTCAGCCACCAATTGTGCAAGTTCTCCCACTTAAAAAGATGAGAGAGGCCTGTAATTTTCATCATAGGTATACCTCAACTATGAGAGACAAAATGAGAAAAGAAAATCACATTGTAGGATTTTTAAAGAATTTATTTGCAAATTATGGTGGAAAATAAGTATTTGGTCAATAACAAAATTTCATCTCAATACTTTGTTATATACACTTTGTTGGCAATGACAGAGGTCGCTATGTAAGATGTTGAGTCAAGTTTTAAATGGGAAAAATATAGAAACTCTTTGGTCATTTGAGCGAGATGCTAACGGTCTAATCACATTCAATGATCTATGCTAAGCTAAGCTAAAAGTGCTACCGCCAGACCCGGAGATCGGCTGAATGGATTCGAAAACGGTAAAACTCAACTGTTTAACTCTAGGGGAGTTGGAAAATCAGCCTATTTTCAAAAATAGTGGAGTGTTCCTTTAAATAACGTTTTAAGAATTTGATTTAAAAGAGTCCGCGCTGTTTAGGTTTCTAATCAAAGTCATATTTTGCCAGCTAATTGATAAACTTACATTTCCCCTAAATTAAAGAAATATATTTATTAGATTTTTTTTTCTTCAATAATTTAGGTAATGGATCATATGGATGAATGGGCAACACGCATTAAACACTACAATTTAAGTTGGGGGAAAAAAGACAGTTCAGCAGTGCTGTAAAAAGAATATAAATAGTATGTATTATGTAAAGAGGAGGAAATTATGCGCTAATGGGATTTTGCACAATGCTACTGCTTTATATTACATGTTTAATTAAAAGGAGTGAATAGAATATCCCTTTTACTTCAAGGAATGTATTAACCTATTCAAAGGAAAAATATAATGGTTTTGTATTATTTGCATTGTTAGAAACAATAAAGAGCTGTTAAATATGGTCTGTTTCTAGGGGTATAGACAGTATAATAATTTAATTATGCATTATAAGAATGCAAAAATATTATTTACACTACATAGTATTGATGGGTTTTAATGCTTTAGAGTTCCTGGAGGTACAAAGGGTATCCAGGTAATATAACTCTTTACAGAAAATAGTCGAAAGGGGCATTACAGATAGAAAAATTACACTTTAAAAGAAAACCGTACCTAGAAAAATAACTAAATTTATTAGAAAATATTATATAATATAGTTTAACTCCAGTTAATCCAGATTCATCCACAACATTGTATGCATGTTGCAAAGTGGAGTCTTATCAGAGATGTCAAATTAGATATTACATGTCTATTATAAAACTCGGCGAATACAGTAGAATCGGCTACATTACCCATAAGCTGAAAGTCATGTGACTGCAGCGCTGCGCAGACCGATCAGTGCATGACATTAAAGTACTCTCGCGGTACTTTGATGTTGTACACTGATCGGAGGCGGCAGCTGCATCTTTATTTCTGTTCCTCACCGAAAAACCTCACACCTGTGCTCTTCGGTACAGTACAGCATCAGCGAAGAACATACACATGAGGTGAGACATCTGCTTTATCACATCTCGTTCGTACAGGGAGAGTTTATTAGCTAAATAAATGCAGTGTTGCTGTTTGAGTCATGGCATGTTTTGCGTCTTTCTGATTTGTTCACCCTCCTGATGCAATGAATAAAGAGAATGAATATGATGGTTATGAAAGAAAGAAGTCTTGCCTAGTAGTGTTTGATCATGACGGTGTCAGTTGACTTGGCATGGTGTTTTGATTGTATCTTGTTAGTGAACCTGATAATTAAGGATAATCCCATTGCATTGTGGTAGTGTCACTGCTATAATGTTGACAAACGTCTTATGTGCGTCCTAGAACATTTAGGATAGGATAAAGATTTCAAGAAGAATTCGATACTCAATAGACTATTGATCAGCTTTTAATCGAGCTGCTCTGAAGATAAGGTTCAGACAATGCTGCATTCTTTCTGCTGTGGACAGCATATTTCATTTACTCATCACTTGTCTCATCAGACTCGTTTTATGATGCTTTAGTCAATTTGTGAAAACATCATTCAGACAAGTAAGTAGCAAACACACTACGGTTCAAAAATAGTTTTGAAGGAAATTAATACTTTTAATCAAAAAGGATGCATTAAATCAAAAGTGACAGTAAAGACATCAGAGAATCCTGAAAAAAATGTAGCACGGTTTCTATAAAAATATGCAGCACAACATTTTTTTAATCAGTCATAATGTTTTTCCACATTGAAATGTTACTTGAACGCCAAATCAGCATATTAGAGTGATTTCTGAAGGATCATGTGACACTGAAGACTGGAGTAAAATTACATTTTAAAATATATTAAAATAGAACATTTTTAATTGTTGTAATATATATGTGCTGAGTAATACAATCATGTCCTGTGAGTTCAAATTTGTCCTAAAATGCAAACCACACTGTCATTTTATGATGCTGATAAACTGTTTGCCAATTTGTGAAAACACCATGTGATATTTCTTCCCTCTTTTTTTGCAGGTGACATTGATCACAAAACACAACATCCTCTCTGTAACTGGATGGACTCTGTGGATGTGCGTTAGTCCCAGGAGTGTGTGTGTGTGTGTGTGCACCTTTCGCCCCTCAATGGTGGCGTCTGACAGCACAAGTGTGTTTGCCTCTACCTTTGCCCTATGGTGTTCTTGTAAGTTTATCTGAGAGTGTGTGAGAAAAGCAAGTGTCATGTCGAGGGCGGACAAGGCGATTAACAGTGAAGCGGGTGACTGGGGATACAGTGAGGATGCTGGAGAAAGGGTATGGCTCTTGCAGAGCCCCAATGTGGACTCCATCCAACCACCTAATCAATCAGACGACAGAAGGGGAGGGGCTTCATCATTCGGGGCTGTTTTTATTGTGGTGAATGCTGCTCTGGGAGCCGGACTTCTTAATTTTCCTGCTGCTTTCAACATGGCTGGAGGCATCACAGCAGGAGTGACCCTTCAGATGGTGAGATGCACTTAAAAACTATTGTAAACAAAACCATACAGCGTTCACTTAAAATAGAGGTGTCTGTTCTTTAAAGTTAAATGTTGTGAAATTCCTAATATGCCTTATTCAACTTTAATCTTTCACAGTGTATGATGGTCTTTATCATCACTGGGCTGGTGATCTTGGCTTATTGTTCTCAGGTAAGCAAATATTTGTGTCAGACACATCAAGAGATATGCACTACCGTTCAGACTTCTTTAAAAATTCAATTCAACAAGGAAGCATTTAATTGTTAAGACATTTAACATTGTTACAAAGGATTTCTATTTTAAATAAATGCTGTTCCTTTTAATTTTCTATTCATCAAAGAATCCTGAAAGAAAATCCCCAAAATATTAAGCAGCATAAATGTTTTTAACATTGATAATAATGAAAACTATTAGAATGATTTCTGAAGGATCATGTGACACTGAAGATGGCTGCTGAAAATTCAACTTTGCCATCACAGGAATAAATCCATTTTAAAATATATTATGACAAAAAACGGTTATTTTAAATAGTAATAATATTTCACAATATTACAGTTTTTATTGTATTTTCGTTTAAACAAATTCAGCATTAGAGACTTCTTGCAAAAACATATTTTTTTTAAATCATACTGAAAGGTAGTGTATTTCTTTTCTTTCCTTTAAAAAGGCACAATGTATTAAATCTTGAAATTAATCATCATATAAGTTACTTTTTATGTATTGACAGCACTAGTTTCCGGTGTTTTAAAAAAAAAAAATTTTTTTAAGTCTGACAATAGGGGACCTCAGAAGTACAAAGGCTGCAATCCATTGCTTTACACTCCACATTTTTTAGGTGAGCAATGAAACAACATATCAGGAGGTGATTCGTGCAGTGTGTGGGAAGGTTCTTGGTGTCGTATGTGAGCTGGCCATTGCTGTATACACCTTTCGCCCCTCAATGGTGGCGTCTGACTGACAGCACAAGTGTGTTTGCCTCTACCTTTGCCCTATGGTGTTCTTGTAAGTTTATCTGAGAGTGTGTGAGAAAAGCAAGTGTCATGTCGAGGGCGGACAAGGCGATTAACAGTGAAGCGGGTGACTGGGGATACAGTGAGGATGCTGGAGAAAGGGTATGGCTCTTGCAGAGCCCCAATGTGGACTCCATCCAACCACCTAATCAATCAGACGACAGAAGGGGAGGGGCTTCATCATTCGGGGCTGTTTTTATTGTGGTGAATGCTGCTCTGGGAGCCGGACTTCTTAATTTTCCTGCTGCTTTCAACATGGCTGGAGGCATCACAGCAGGAGTGACCCTTCAGATGGTGAGATGCACTTAAAAACTATTGTAAACAAAACCATACAGCGTTCACTTAAAATAGAGGTGTCTGTTCTTTAAAGTTAAATGTTGTGAAATTCCTAATATGCCTTATTCAACTTTAATCTTTCACAGTGTATGATGGTCTTTATCATCACTGGGCTGGTGATCTTGGCTTATTGTTCTCAGGTAAGCAAATATTTGTGTCAGACACATCAAGAGATATGCACTACCGTTCAGACTTCTTTAAAAATTCAATTCAACAAGGAAGCATTTAATTGTTAAGACATTTAACATTGTTACAAAGGATTTCTATTTTAAATAAATGCTGTTCCTTTTAATTTTCTATTCATCAAAGAATCCTGAAAGAAAATCCCCAAAATATTAAGCAGCATAAATGTTTTTAACATTGATAATAATGAAAACTATTAGAATGATTTCTGAAGGATCATGTGACACTGAAGATGGCTGCTGAAAATTCAACTTTGCCATCACAGGAATAAATCCATTTTAAAATATATTATGACAAAAAACGGTTATTTTAAATAGTAATAATATTTCACAATATTACAGGCTGCAATCCATTGCTTTACACTCCACATTTTTTAGGTGAGCAATGAAACAACATATCAGGAGGTGATTCGTGCAGTGTGTGTTGTTTATTACTATTTATTTATAGTGTTGTATTGTATTTTCGTTTAAACAAATTCAGCATTAGAGACTTCTTGCAAAAACATATTTTTTTTAAATCATACTGAAAGGTAGTGTATTTCTTTTCTTTCCTTTAAAAAGGCACAATGTATTAAATCTTGAAATTAATCATCATATAAGTTACTTTTTATGTATTGACAGCACTAGTTTCCGGTGTTTTTAAAAAAAAAATTTTTTTTAAGTCTGACAATAGGGGACCTCAGAAGTACAAAGGCTGCAATCCATTGCTTTACACTCCACATTTTTTAGGTGAGCAATGAAACAACATATCAGGAGGTGATTCGTGCAGTGTGTGGGAAGGTTCTTGGTGTCGTATGTGAGCTGGCCATTGCTGTATACACATTTGGCACCTGCATAGCCTTCCTTATTATTATTGGAGATCAGTTAGACAAGCGTAAGTATGTTCACATGTGTATATATACAGTGGGGCAAAAAAGTATTTAGTCAGCCACCAATTGTGCAAGTTCTCCCACTTAAAAAGATGAGAGAGGCCTGTAATTTTCATCATAGGTATACCTCAACTATGAGAGACAAAATGAGAAAAAAAATCCAGAAAATCACATTGTAGGATTGTTAAAGAATTAATTGGTAAATTCCTCGGGAAAATAAGTATTTGGTCACCTACAAACAAGCAAGATTTCTGGCTCTCACAGACCTGTAACTTCTTATTTAAGAGGCTCCTCTGTCCTCCACTCATTACCTGTATTAATGGCATCTGTTTGAACTCATTATCAGTATAAAAGACACCTGTCCAAAACCTCAAACAGTCACACTCCAAACTCCACCATGGCCAAGACCAAAGAGCTATCAAAGGACACCAGAAACAAAATTGTAGACCTGCACCAGGCTGGGAAGACTGAATCTGCAATAGGTAAGCAGCTTGGTGTGAAGAAATCAACTGTGGGAGCAATTATTAGAAAATGGAGATATGTCAAAATAGTCTAAAGAGAGTAGTCTTATTTTCTGTCTTTCTTCCTACAGTGATTGGCGCAATAAATCATGAGTCAGAGAAAGCAATTAGTTCGCACTGGTACACAGATCGTAAGTTCACCATCACTTTGACCTCAGTGCTGATCATACTGCCTCTGTCCATACCCAAAGAGATTGGCTTCCAGAAGTATGCCAGGTAAAAACCTCTTGTGTTTTTATTGTTTTATGCAGTGCAGTGTTATGTCACAGCTGTGATTAATGCAAGTGTTTTTGCTTAAAATGTTCCTCAGTATTTGCTGGTTAATTCGTACATGCACATTTGTACTGATTAATCTGTAGCACCCTGAGTGTTATTGGCACATGGTATGTGACGATCATAGTCATTGTCAAATACATCTGGCCCGACAAAGATGTTTCTCCAGGAATCATCCCAGTCAGGTCAGAAGTACATTAAAAATAGTTATTTGAGTTACAAATTACAGAAGAGGTTGTGATCAGTACTATAATGTGATGTTTATTTTTCAGCCCTGCATCCTGGACCGATGTGTTCAATGCCATGCCCACAATCTGCTTTGGTTTCCAGGTTTGTGATCTTTACTATTTTATATATATATATATATATATATATATATATATATAAAAAAGTTTTTTGTTTGTTTTTTAATGTTTTCGAAAGTCTCATATATATATATATATATATATATATATATATATAAAAAAGTTTTTTGTTTGTTTTTTTAATGTTTTCGAAAGTCTCTGCGCACTGAGGCTGCATTTGTTTTTTATAAAATAAAGTAAAAACAAATATAATTAAATATTTTTACAATGTCAAATAACCATTTTGTACTTAAATATATTTTCAAATATAATTTATTTCTTTTGATGGCAGAGCTGAATTTAAAAAAGCCATTACTCCAGTCTTCAGTGTCACATGAAATCATTCTAATATGCTGATCTGGTGCTCGAGAAATATTTCTTATTGTTATCAAAGTTGAATTATTGTTACCTTTTTTTTGTCAGGATTCTTTCTTGAATAGAAAGTTCAAAAGAACAGCATTTCTGTGAAATAGAAATCTTTTGTAACATTATAAATGTCTGTAATGTCACATTTGATCAATCTGATGCATGCTTGCTGTATGAAAATATTCATTAAGGGAGCATATCTTTCTGAGCCAATGACATGTCTGAATTCTCTTCTTTTGAAATCTAGCGACTCGATCATTCTCCTCACTTTTGTTTTCCCAGTGTCATGTCAGCAGCGTTCCTGTTTTCAACAGCATGAAGAAGCCTGAAATCCGGCCTTGGTGGGCAGTTGTTACAGTCAGCATGATCATCTGCCTCTTTGTGTATACAGGCACGGGTGTGGGAGCTTGAATTTGCTGAAATATTCTAATGATAAAGCAGGCAGGGAACAAACCATGCTAATAGGAACTGGTTGTGTTCCGTTTGGGCTTTTTTCTCCACAGGTGTTTGTGGCTTCCTGTCATTTGGCTCAAGCGTAAGCCAGGATGTGTTGATGTCGTATCCATCTAATGACGTTGCGGTGGCCATTGCTCGAGCCTTCATCATCATCTGTGTTGTTACCTCATATCCAATCCTGCACTTCTGTGGAAGGTAACAGGCTTTTGTGGTCTGTAGATGTGTATGAAAGATAGATATCTATAGTCACATTAAAAAAAAGTGTAATTTTGTGCTTCAGGGCAGTGCTGGAAGGTTTGTGGTTGCGTTTTGTAAGGTCCGCGCACCTGGTCCAAGGAAGGTACCCAGTGGCGGATGAAGGTCTCTTGCGTGTTCGGTCTTTTCAGCAGGAGGTGGAGACCGATGTGACCAGGGAACGGAGACGAAGGATACTGCAGACACTCGTCTGGTTTTGTCTCACACTGATTCTTGCTCTCTTCATTCCTGATATAGGACGAGTCATTTCACTAATTGGGGGTTTGGCTGCATGCTTCATTTTTGTTTTTCCAGGTATTAAAATTAAAAGGTTCTCAGACTGTACTTTGGCTTGTATCCCTTTAAATTTTGGTTCCAAACAGTGACCGCAGTTATTTTTGTAATGTTTGTCTGTAGGGTTGTGCTTGATTCAGGCAAAGCTTTCAGAGCACGATGTCAGATCAACCAGGTAAACGTCATTACTCATTAAAGGGAAAGTTCACCCAAAAATAATCATTAATGAATCACCCTATTTGTGTTCATGTTTGAAACGCAAAGGAAGAGATTTTTAATGAAACTTGAGAGATTTCTGTCTTTAAGACCATTTCACCAAAACTTTGATGCTTCAGAAAGTTCATAAGAAGACATTGTAAAAAGTAATCTATATGAAACCAAGTCTCCTGAAGAGACACCATCCACATATAAAGAACATGCATGGAGCACATCAAATATGGTAAACATGGAAATTCAAACATGCTTCCATACTTGATTCATTTTTGAGCTTCTGCTCGATAAATTTTGATCAATGTTTAAATGTGAACAAAACCCTAAATGAAATCTGTTTATCACATAAAGTGATCATGTCTTTTCAGAAGACTTGGATTAAACCGCTCAATTAATACAAATAACATTTACAATGTTTTATGAACTTTTTGAAGTGTCAGTTTTGATGGAATAGACTTTGAATGGAGGGACAGAAATCTCTGGTTGCATTAGAAATATCTGTATTTGTGTTTCGAAGATGAATGAAAGTCTTATGGGTTTGGTTTGGTGAACTATCCCTATAAACAGTATTCAGAAATGCCTAAAGACTTGTGTATTCAGTGATAAAACTGATAACTGAATTATTTCTCTATAGTTGGAATGGAATCGTGGCCTATGGGGTTGTTATGGTTACGATTGGTGCTTTCATCTTTGGCCAGACGACCACAAAGGCCATCTACCAAGATATCATCAATCATGCCAACAGCCAATAGCAGGGGTTGTTGTGACCTCATGAATATTGGGCATGAATATGAACCAGTAGAGACAAACTAAAAACATGAGAATGAAGACTGTTCAAATCACGTCTACCACTGACCTCTATCACGTCTTCAGGAGACTGTTGCAAATTTCTCATATTGTAAAGCGCAGCAGTTCCACAGAAGTTTGTACCTCTTGATGTAGTGGATCACCCACCTGCATGCAGCATCAAGCTCTGTGCTCTGGCTGTTTGTGAATGGAGGACCCCTGTGACAGATACTATACTTCACTATTTTCTGAATGGATATTGACATTGTGTTAAATCCTCCAGTGTTAGATCTTCCAAATATAGTCTCTTTCTTTTGAAATGTCTTTTTTTTGTCCATTCCCTTTTTTAATTTTTATATATTTTAAGAAATTGATTTTATGGAGGCTTTATATACTTGACATTGCAAATGTGGTCAGTGCTCATAAAGTTTACCCTTAGAATCGTATTGCAAACTTTTTTTCTTGATGACTTGCACTGCCAAGCATGTAATTCTACAGTTCCATAAGATCTGAGAAGACTAATAGTGTGTTTGTGTGTGAATACTAACCACTTTCGACCAGAAGTGACAATTATTTAAACTGTATTTCAGAAAATTCTTGATGAATTGTTGTGTTGTTATTGTTTTAGCTACATTTTCTGAATGTGTTTTTCATGAAGTTGTTGCTTAGGCCAGGGTGCAATAATCTCTGATTTCATAAATTCACTGATACTTGGGTGAGTACAACGAAGACTAGATGATGAAATTATTTTGTTTATTTTGATTGGGGAGGGGAGGGGGTGAATGTGAGAATTTCTCTAGTACGTATCTTTGAACCATTCAGTTTACCAACTGAAACCAAACCGTTTAATTGTGTAAGTCACATTGGTGTGCTGGTGACCCTTTTGTACCACATGTTCCAGTTCTGTATTGTGCGTACATCTGAAAATTCCTCATGGATCGCATGGTTTTAAGCAGTAACACTAGAAGCATGTTTGCTTTTCCACAATCATGTATTATTGCTGTTTCAGTGCAATCGCCAAAGGGATGTTCAATGAAAAATCAACAAACTGTTTCTGTGCTCCATTATGATTGATTTTTTTTGTTCTCCAACTGCAAGATGCAGTTAAACACTCATGTGTCCAACTAAAAAAGTACAAAAAATATTTTAATACACAAAGTAAATTGTTGGCTATATAATGAATGCTCAGTTTAAAGTAGTAACATTTAGTATATTTAAAGACACACGCATGTCATTTGGGGCAGGGCCATGCTGGGCATGTCCAAATCTCTTCTGCAACACTTCTTCAGGATCAATACTGTGATGGAAAGAACTCATCCAACTACCAAACTGTTATTTTTTTATTTATTATTTTGTCTAAACATCTTCCCCAGTCACTTTAGATACTTTTGAACTCTTGCTCAAAAATGATAATCAGCACATGCCTAGCACAGTTCTGAACAGTTGAACAGATATAAAAACTAAATGTTATGGCATAACACCCAAACAAGTGTGCTTAATTGCAGAAAAAAGGTGTCCGTTAGTGACGTTCCTTAGAGTTACACAGTTTTTCAGACTTTTGAGCACATTTATCTCAAAATGATGGGGCCTATATACTCACCATGTAGCTATGAGAGAGAGTGACACAGGAATCATTCCTGATCATAAATGTAGGGGTGTAGTTAAAATCAGTCTCAGCCAATGGACTAAAACATACACTGTTTCTGTAGTGACATGAAAATACAGGACACATTTTTTACATAATAGTTTCATAATTTAAAAGGATAATACAAATCTAAAATAATAAAATATATAAAAAATACAAATCAACAAGATACTTAAAAAAAACAATGTAATAAAATGCTAAAATTATTTCAATATCATTTTCATAAGTTGAAATTTAGGAGTTAGTGTTACCTCCCAATTGAAAGTACCCAATAAACGATGATTAAGCTTACTGATATTTAATATATTATTGTGTGTTTCAATAGATAATAGAAGTAGCTTAGTAAACATCTAAGATTTGAATATTTAAATGCTTTTTAAATGTGTTGTTGGTTGTGGGACCGCAGTTTGCACCAATTCTGTAGAATGGCCCATTGTCCATTTTAATTTTCATATAGTGTGCTGTTTTGGTGAACCACATATCTGCGATCAATGTACTGTTTTAAGCTATGAGTGCATCAGTCAATATTACTCTATAACAATTCTTCAAAATTGAGCAAATGTTCAGAAAATGTGGAATTTTAAAATGTGTGTTGAACATTATACCAGTAAAACATGTTTAATTTATTATTCATAAAACCTTTTTAAATCTGGTTTTGTTAATGAGGGTCAGATATTACAGTCTGTCTGCTCTTTCTACACTCAAGCATTTGTTAAATAAATTATCAAGTTATTTTAAAAACGAATTATATTTTATACATAGCCTATATTTGCATGCTCTTCTATTTTTTCTACCTAGCTGATCCAGCCAAGTCATTTGAATGAATCTGCTATGTTATTTGCTATGATGAACCTTAATCTGATCATAATAATTTTCTGAAGGAATAACAAAACAAGAGGTGACAATTATACACAGAGAGACCGGAGGCAAGTTCAAGCACAAACCGGTGTGCACCGTTTTGCTACGGTTTCCGGTTTGAACGACATGTTTCCTGGAAACGGTGTGCAAAGGGGTTTGAGATGTGTTTTCTCTTGTTTGGTGGGTGTGTCAAACATGTCAGCCCAATCAGCAGCAATATGTACAGTATGTAAATCAAGCGGTATTAAAGAGACAGCTCGCACAATGTAATTAACATCCCCAAAAAATTCACAAGAGCAAGTATATTGCTTGCACATGTTTATTTACATTAAAGGCAAAATAACTAAAATAATAAGAGCACACGTATAGATCTGGAACTTCTTTAAGTCTGTCTAAATATAATTTAGTTATTGCAATGTCTTCTATTGTGTGCTAAATACTGATTAATGTAACA